AGCCTTCGTCACTCCGGCCTGCACAGTGCACAGGGTTCATTGGCAGCATGATTGGGCAAGCCAAGGAATAGCTTGTAAAAGTCAATGTCCCCTGACCATGCACAAACCACGGCCCTCCAACCGTTGGCCAGTTCCTGGCCGGCTTTGTCCCGTTCCTTTCGTTCCCCCTCCAGTCCTTTGAAGGATAGACTCCGGTCCATAGTGCATGCAATGTCCATTCCAATACGGAGAATAAGTCCTTGGCGGTGTCCTTTGTCCAGGTCCTGTTCCAGTGAGCCCAAATGTAGTTCTGGTTCACCTTGGTGTTTTGTGGCATATAACACAGAAAACACAAAACAACGTTGCAGCTTTATACTGCATATATATATATGTGTATAGATCAGAAAGCAGAGAGCACTTTTTTCGACGCGTGGTCCTGTCTGCTCTCGCAACGTCCTGCATCCACATGGTGCATCAGTCCCTGATAAATCCCATTGCTCCGCCGTCTATGGTGAGGCCTATCATCCTGGATTCCTGCTCCTGCCCAACCCTGGTCAAGATCATCTTGAGCCGAGCCCTGTCCCTTCCGGAAAGGTTGGACAAGGATGCCGCACGACCCAGTCACGCTCCTGCACGAAGCTCTGCAAGCTGCTCATTGCTCTTTGTCTTGTCCTTCGAAATTGATCGTCATCGTCCTCTATCCCATCTCGCAGGCGATGATGTTCATTTCCTGATCCATCTCCCGGGCGATGATGTTCAGTTCCTGCTGCACTTCCTGGATGATGTTGATGGTAGGTCAGCCTTTCTTCCACTCTTTCCAAGCGGCTTTCCAGTGTATCCACCTGCAGCTCCAAGTCCTGAACGTGAGAGCTCAAGTCCTCCCAGTCGGTCCAGGTAAAAGAAGCACCGGATTGTTGTTCTTGTCCATGTCCTGCTTCTCCGGCGGGCACAATCATGGCGAAACGGCTGGGCCACGTTTCTTCCTCTCCCTGTGTGTATGTATAAGCAAGAAATGGCACACGGGTCATCTACATGTAATCTCTCTCACATGCACACACACACACAGCAAAACTTCTGGACGTTTTCTCATAAAATGGACTGTCTATGCAGAGGTGTTCCAATGACACAGAAAACATATGCAAAAGTGTCAGACAAGTGGCTTTTGTTCCTAATCCGGATAAGTTGCTGAGCACTGAGCTCCAAGAAAACACAACTGCCGAACTGCTCCATATCTTGCCTCTGCCCGTGATGGTGTTTCGTCTCCATGAACAACAATGGGAATTACTTTCTCCATTTCATCCAAACTCAGGTCCTTCAGCGGGTGGCATGTCCATTGTTCCTGGCCCTGGTCCTTCTCCCAATACAAGAGCTGGCTCGGGTGCATCTCGAAGAGGTCGCAAGGACTCTGTTCGTCCTTGAGGCACCGAGAAGTCTCCGTACAACTTCAGGCGGAAACTCGTCTCGCTCAAAGCTCGCATCCACCGATGCAAGTCCATGTCCCCGTCCGGGTTCTCCCAAACGTGCTAGGAAAACATCCGGTCCTTTGTTTGACACAATCCCCACCCGCCCACAGACACACACACACACACCCACACACACACAGACTCACAATATATATTACGTATATATATATATATATGTGTGTGTGTGTAAAGAAATATATATATATATACACATTTGAATATGTAGCCAAGCATCCAGGAAGCAAGTTGCCTCTTCCAAAAAGAGGGGAGGCTCCTTGTACTTGATTTCAGCTGCCAGGACCATCACAGCCAAGTACTCCCCGTAGCACACCTCCGGCTGCGGCCCAAGCACTCTCCTCCATTCCTGCAGCAACAATGTTTCCAAGTCATCTGCCCTTCCGCGAGACATGTTCTCTTCTATATAAGGGCACTTCCAATGCTTGATCCGAATGGCTTCTCACATGCACACAGATTGTGAAGTTTTGCACAACACCTCGCACTCGGACTCACTCGGCAAAACGGGCCATCCGGCCCGGGCCATCTCCAGTCCTCCTCCGATATGTACACATGGCCTCGTGGGCCTTGAAAGAAACTATGTACAGACTACACAACACGAGAGAGGCAATCCAGCCCTCCTGTATAGTGTATGCGCACAAAATCTATATATATATATATATACATACACATACATACACAGCATCCTGAAATCACTATATACACCAGGGGCCATCCAACCCTCGTCCTGTGGCAGCACGCACGAGAGGCAATCCAGCCCTCCTGTAAAGTATGCACACACAAAATCTATATATACATACACAGCATCCTGAAATCACTACACCAGGGGCCATCCAAGCCTCGTCCTGTGGCAGCACAAAGGCAGCCCAGCGGCACACAAGAAAGCAAGCAAGCAAATAAACCTAAACCAAAACAATTATTGCCACTCTTTTTCGGGGCACAAGCTTCAGGCGAGTCCTTTGTCCTTCAGAAGCTTACGAGCTTTCCTCATGAAGAACTTTCTGTGAGCCTTCCTGGTCTCCAGATGCTTCGCCCAGTGCTAGCTGGCCGTCTCTCCGCTCTCTTTCTTCTTCTCCCCCTTGGCTCTCGCATCCAGCTTGCCTCTGACTCCGGCCAGGTCCTCGTTGATGGCTTTCACCACTTGTGCCTGCTGGTTCAAAAATGCCGTGACCTTGTCGTAGGTCACCTCGCCTGGATAGTCTTTCTTCGACAGCTGCTGTGTGGCACGGGGGTGTGGGGTTGCTAGTTTTGGGCGGCTTCGGGAGGTTTGGGGTTGTGTTTTCGAAAGGGTCTGTCCTGGAACTTCTTCAAGGACTCCATCTCTCTCCTTGTTGTTTAATCCGATCGTTGATGTCTCTCCTTACAGCACAACGAACGGGTTTGCTGACGAAACATGTCTGCTTTCGTATATATATATATGTATATATGTAACAAACATACAATATAAAAAATCGGAACAAGAAGCGAAACACCCTACTCAAGTCCAAGCCAAAATTACGAGAAACAAGAATCACTAGGAAGCATCTGCTCCAGCATCTTCTCGACCTTGCCCTGCAATTGCTGACAGGTGTTTAGTCCTGTTTCCACGAGCTCCCTCGCCTTATTCCACCTGGCTTCCGTCATCGCTTTCTACTCTGATGCTGCCGGTGCTGCTGACGATCCTGATCCTGATCCCGATCCTGATCCTGCTCCGGGATCATTCGCGCGGCCGTCGGCGAGCATCGGTTGCCTGGGCATGTCAGGCAGCTCGGTCGGCAACTCCAGGTTGATATCCTCCATGAGGGCCTGCAGTTGACCTGCCTCCCTCTGTGATACCGCCATCCTTTTCCTTGAAGATTAATGTCCGTCCTCCTTCTGTCCATTGCTTTCAACCTCAAATACCCCCGGGACACGTAGGCCTTGCCGTCGTGGTAGACAACATCCATTTCCTCGTTATTTATCGCTTCTTTGAGTGTGTCCGGGGTCATCTTGAACCTATTCATGAAGAGCGTTTGGCTCATTCCTTTGTCCTCGAGCTCAAAGGTGTGTTCATTCTGAAGACTTTGGCTACGGAAGCTTTCTTCGTGCCAGCAAGCTGCAAGTTGCCGAACGGTCCCTCTGATTGACCTTGTTGAGGAACTCTGTCTTCATTTTCCTACTTCCCGGTCCCGTCATCTGCTTATACGTATCCTGCACAACCTTAGGCACAGATCCGGCAGCCCTCAGGAAGTTGAACTTGTTGGTCTTGCATCTGTCCCTTTTCTCTGGCACCTTCTCCTCCTCCGTCTTCTCCTCGTCCTGCTCCTCGCTGTCCTCGTTCTGGGCTTGGACCAATGCTTCGCTCCAATCCGAGATGGAGGCTTTCCTTTTCGGCGCCTTCTTCCTGGTCTCCTCCTTGGTCTCCTCGTTGTCCTGGTCCTCAGCCTCCTTTTTCTTCTTCGGTTCGGCTGTTTTGCATTTGGTTTCATCCTTCTCCTGCTTCGGTTTCTTCTTGGTCTCCTCCTTGTCCTGATCCTCACCCCCCCTTTTCTTCTTCTTCGGGTCGGCTTTGGCTTTACCTTTCGCTTTGGGTGTTGCCGTGGGAGTGGAAGAGCTGGTCTCCTTTCCTGGGGGCTTGGCATTCGTTTTCGGATTTGCCTTTGCCTTTGCCTTTCCCTTTGGCTCCGCCTTTGCCTTTGCTTTTGGGGTTGCTTTTGCCGTTGCCTTTGCCTTGGCCGAAGGTTTTTTTTTGGCTTGGCGATCCTCCTCCTCGTCCAGTTCCTCTTCCTCCTCATCCTCTTCCTGCTCCTCCTGGTCTTCCTCCTGTTCCTCTTCCTCTTCCTCTTGCTCGTCCTCGTCGTCCTCCTCGTCCTCCTCGTCCTCCTCGTCCTCCTCCTCCTGTTCATCGTCCTCTTCCTCTTCCTCCTCTTTCTTCGGTTCCTCTTTTTTTTCGGCTTTCTTCTTCTCCTCGTCTTTTTTGGCTTTGACTTTCGGGACTGTCAGAACAGGGCTGTATATATCACACAGACAAACACACATTTAAATTTGTATATATATATATATACATATACAAACATATATTGCCTGCTTTCGCTTTCGCTTTGATTCGGCGGCTTTTTTTCGGCGGCATGCTTTTTTGATCTTTTTCTCTTTGTGTCTACGTCTGTCTATACAGAGGCTCTGAGAGAGTTTCCTGGAGCCCAGCACACACATGCACGTTTGTTTTTGCACCGAAATCCCTTCCCTCCCCTGTCTCCAAATCCATGAAATCCTTTCTATATATAAGAATTTTGTGCAAAAAGTGTATACACTTTTCATAAGGTATATAGACTTTTTGCAAAAGTGTATACACTTTTACAAAACTGTATACACTTTTGATACAAGTGTATACACTTTTCCACCATTTTGATCAAAAGTTACTTAAAAGTGCCACTTCTTGATCAAAAGTTATTTTAAAGTGATCAAAAGTGCATACACTTTTGCCAAAAGTGCATACACTTTTATAAACAATGTACACACGTTTGAAAAAAGTGTATACACTTTTAGAACAAGTGTATGCAGTTTTACAACGGTGTATGCGGTTTTCCCGGAGTGTATACACTTTTTTTTTAAGATTGTATACACTTTCGACAAACGTGTATACACTTGTTGTAAAAGTGTATACACTTTTTCCAAAAATGTATACACTTCTTCCAATAGTGCATACACTTTTGCCCAAAGTGTATACACTTTGGGCAAAGCTGTATACATGTTTATGTTTTTTCTTTAAAATGTAGGTATCTTTTTTGAAAATTATTCGAAAATTATAAAAACTAAGCATTTTCAAACCAAATTCCTATTTTTTTAAGAAGAACGATAAAATTCTATTACAAAAACAGATTTTCTTTTTCGAAGCCAAAGGATTTTCTCTTAGTTTCGAAAAAAATTTATGTTTTTCCAAACCAAATTGCTAAATTTTTGAAGACAAACCATAAAAAAATATTCACAAACATCCTTTCCAAACCCAGAGGTTCGAGATCTTCTCGAAACTACTTCAGGCGGCCATCCCAACCAAATTTAGCAATGGCATCGAAGAAAATCTTTGATTGAGTCTTCTCCACGAGAGGATTTGCAAGCTGCTCTCATGCAACCTTCGACTCCCATATGCCTCAACTTGCTTGCCTTGCCCACGTAAGATCTTGAACTGGCACCTCCTGCATTCCCAGATAATGTTCTTCGCCTGAGCTGACATGGTTGTCTAGGTTTATCCAAAAGACCACAAATGTACATGCACAAAACATAACTCTAGACTGGCAGCCGCGGGAGTCCTGGTCGGGGGTGGCGTTGGCACGGGTCTGTTGTAATCCGGGATGTTCGTCATGTCCACTTTTCCTCTCATGCACAGTGGGTGGTTGTCATCATCCTCTTCCCACTGCTCGGGTTCTTCTTGTCCGTAGTTGCAGCCCTGGCCGTAGTCACCGCGCCCCTTGCCTCGCGGTCCTGGTCCTGGTCCATAGGTAGTTGTTGTGGCCGCCTGGCCG